CCCATTTCGCTTCCGTAGTACCTAAGTGCCAATAGGGAGGCTATTGAGACCACAGGAGAGGCAATCCTGTTCTCTATTCCTTTGTACTCGGCATCAGAACAGTGCAATTGCTGTGAGGAATGGTTGCTGGGAAAGTCTTAAGTCTTTGACAAGAGCTTATTCAGTAGGGACGGAAACTTCAGAAAATATAGTTGCAGCTTCCGGCAAACCTTTACTGGGCATGTGCAAATAGTAATTTTAAAATTTCTAGTCCATGCTTCAAAGCATGGAGGCACAGGATCTTCTCAACCAAATGGTCATCACAACTTGAAATCCATTGGTAAAAAAGCACTATTTTTCTCTAACCTCATTCTTGGAAGTTGAACTGTTTGCTGAAAAACTCAAAAGAAACAAAGTTTCAGCTGAAGGAAGATATCCAGTATGGAAATTCCAGTTCTAACAGCAAAAGTCTGGCAACTTTATAAGTGGGGATCCTGGTTTTCTCTGTTTAAAATCCCAAATTCTCTGATAAAAACCACCATCAGTTTCTCTGATTTTAAAACCCCAAATCTGTGTTTTTTCACAGTTAAAATGAAAATCCACTAATTTACACACACACACACACACACACACACACACACACACGTGCGCGTGGACAGTATGTAGTAGTTATGAAAATGTAGTGCATCCCATTTTCTTTGGGATGCGCTTAGTACAAACATGGGTCAGGTGATCATCTGTATACCTGTGAAACTATCGGCATGGAATGTTTGAAAGCTACTCCTATGCTTACCATTGTTGGCCTGAAAAGCCATTACTATTTATTTATTTCCTCTTGGATTTTATTCCTGAGCATTGGAACTTCAGTGCATAAAAACAGCTCCCACAGTATCTCATAATGGATAGAAGGGCTAATTGGATGACCAAACATTCATCTTGTTCATTGTGTCCTGCCAAATGACTCTAGAAGGAGACATGGAAGAAGTTGTTGACGTCTTTTTTAGGGGACTCAGAAGACATTTCTATCTGATGTTGCTAACAAGGACCTCAACATCACATGCTATTTTTTCATTAAGCAAAACAGTGTTGCAAACCTAAGAAATTATAATATATATTAAAGTGTTGGCTTCTTATAACAATCAGTATAGCATACATACTTGTATTTGTGTGTTATGTTTAATTGCATAAATCTCCTCTGAAGTCACCTTTGATATATAGGATACCATTGGTATATTTTCTGATCAGTTGTGACTAAATTGAGAGTATGTTTATATTGCAGTATAAATTAGTTTTAAATTCTATTTCTTTGTGTTTAGATATTGTTTTATATCTGACAATTTATCAGGTGGTTTTCTTGAAATGTCCATGCTTATTAAATTTTGGATTATGTATTTCGATTGAGCTAGAGACTTAAACATGTTTCCATAAGTATGGCTGCAGGTAAACAACCAATTTTAGTCCAGAAAATAGCTTTTGCTTCTGTCAACATGTTGTTTATTTTCTCCCCGAGATAAAAAGTTCAGTTTTCTGATATTTGTACCAAGATAAAGTCAGTAAACAAGATTAATATAGTGTGGAAAAGGTTGTCAGCAACCCTGGCAAAGGAAATAAGTTGCCTGTACACAGAACATACTGTAAACTGAATAAAAGTGTCAGGTCCACCATGAGATAATGTGATCATGAACCTCTAACAAAGCATGACATAGGCACAGTCGGCTTTTCTTATAGCCACAGTGTAGAAAATGGATTACTATATTCCTGGGATACCCACTGGAATAGCATGAAAACCTCATTTTGAGATTAATGCAGGATGTAACTCTCTAGAGCCAAGCCACATGTTTACCTATGGTGTTCAAGCTACAGCTTGTTTATTACTATTCTACTCAGGATGTTACATGTAAATTTAAAAGTTTTTTATTCCAGAGTGCATCTTTATGAACTTATATCTGTTGCTCAATCTATAAGATGAATACAGGAAAAGCTCTCTTGAAAGCTTTCACTGAAATTTCTTTATTACTGAATGAATAAGCAAGACTACTTTTGCTCTAGTAAAACTAAGATAATTTCAAATGTCTACGTCTATGGAAGCCCTCTGTTGCTGACTGCATGTACAGGTTTTCCTCACCAATCACTGGAGTTAGGTTCCTGAAACTTCCCATGGTTGGCAAGACAAAAAGGCTTATGGGAAAAATAGCAGGTGGCAGGCTGATGCGCAGCCACGGAAATCTGTGGTTATTCAAAACTGTATACCATGGTAGCCAAAATGGTATATAGAATATTAAGTGTAGATACTCAAAACCGTGGTTGGCAAAACTGTGGTTGGTGAGCGAAACCTGTACTGGAGTGTAGATAGGGGCCAAGAATAGGTGTTCATTTCTAGCAGTAGAAATTTCTGCTGCTATAAATGTTTCCAGGAGAGGGAGCAGCATAGGCATTCAGTCTACAACCACCCCCTTGCCTGCTCCCCTGCCTTCCCAAAACTGAGTGATCCCAATCTGGGGGAAGTTGGAGCAGCTGTTGCTTCCCACTTCTGCCCATTTCTGTAAGGGCAAGTGGAGCAGCAGTGAAAAACTTTCCACATTTCCCCATATAAGGGACACCCATGTCTGGGGAACGGGCTCCACTCCCCTCCCATAAACTGCTAAAGAGGGGACTAGAGCAACAAGCAAAACCCCTTTCATGTTCCTCAGATCAGTGGCCAGGAGCTGAGTGGAGGGAGCGACAGGCAACACCGCCTCAGACCAGGGCCTCAGTCTGGGAAGCAGTAGGGGGCTTTGCACTAGTGCTCCTGTCCCCTGATGGAATAGTCTATGGAAGAGATAGGGACAGACTCCCCACCCCTTCCCCAGATGTAGGTATGTCCTCAGTCTGAGGAAATGTGAAGACTAGTTGGGACTACATGGGACTAGTCCAGGATGAGGAAAGGAGCAGTGGGACAATGCCTTGGCTATTTGCCGCCCCCTCCCCTGCCCCCTCTGCCGGCAGTCCCTGATCTGGGAAGCATAGGCAGCAGTATCCCACTGCTTCACCCCACCATGCTTCTCCCCCTTCCCCTCCCCCCCCAACCAGACTGGGACAGGAATGTTAAGGCATTCATTCTTCTGAGTTTCTCTTGCATGGAAGAACTTCCAGGTTCACACCTGGAAGATATTTGTACTAAGATAAAGTCAGTAAACAAGGTTAATAGAGTGTGGAAAAGGGGAGGGTTTATTTCCCCAGGAGAAATTAACTGAATGCTTGTACACTCATAGTTTCCATCAGGAGAACAGTGGGTGCCTATACACGTGCTCTGGCACATTCTGATTACTCTCGATTAATTGAGTCTCCTGGAGTGTTCTAATCAGACCGCTCCAGCCTGCTGCAGTGTCTCATGTATTCAGCATCCCGTATTTTAATATGGTGGCAGGGACACTAACTAAAACTCATCAAATGAGCTTTAGTTAAAGCACCCCCACCACTATTTTGAAACACGGGACACTGAATACACAAGGCGCAGTGGGCATTTTAATTAGAACAGCTCCCAAGAGCCACTCTTATTAAAATGCACCCTTCCTACTCCAGAGCACGTGTATAGGCACCTAATGATTCTCTTAGTAGAAATATAATGCCTCTATGTGGCCATGATTTCCTCAAGGCAGCAAGTTACAATTTTTTTGTAACTTCTACTTTCCAAGCAGTAAGTATGGCTACAATTTTTCTATAGCAAGTTTTGATAGTTGTTCTGAATCATCACTGCCCAGTAAAATGGGCATTGCTGTACTAGATCTTAACATGCTTTGGTTCTCTTTCTGCATAAAAGTAGGGGAAACTTGCTTTAAAACCACAAACAAACAGTAATTTGTTGCCATTGAAAATGCAATGAATCATTCTTCTAATGAGTGATGGCCTGTCAAATATGGATAAACAGAGATCCCTTATGTAAAAATAACCTAAAACCCAGTGGTCCCAGACAATATGTGTATATCAGCTGTTTATCTCTTTGGCTTCCAAGTCTCCTTCAGCATTGACAGCATGGCTGCCTTAGCCCTGTCACTGGTCAGTTGGTGATCCCCTGGGGATTCAGAGTTTTTATGAGGACTTGTTGCTCTTTGCTCCAATATCTTTAGCATATATGCATCTTTAGCAGGTGAGCCCTAACTCCATCTCATATATATGTGAACAAGCAAGTTCTAGCAAACAAATCTTGCAGAAGAGGAAGGCTACTTCAGCCGTAGTATGATATAACCCTATAAAGATGTATTTTCCTTATGTTTACCCTGTCCCACATGAAGGAGTATGAAAGAGAATTATATAACTGATTAAAAAGTTAACCATTTTGTTCCTTTTATATTATGGTAAATGAAAAGGAATGGACAAGAGAATATGATTACAGTTATAAAAGTCAGAGTTTTTTGTGTCTTTCATTTTTCGTCATGTGTTATTTTCATAAGCATTTTGCTCCATCTTGCAGGCTACACCTTAGATTTTCAAAGGAGCCTAAGGCCCTTTTTGAAGCCCTTACAGCTTTAAATTAATTAATGGTATTTTCCCTAAATTTAACACCTTGTACATTCTGGATGAGATTTTCAAAAGCATCTAAGCATCACATTTTCAAAGGTGCCTATGAATTTGTGTTTTGTGGAATTTTCAGAATCACTTAGCAGATAGACATCTATCTGACTGCCACTGAAATGCAATGGGAATAGTTACCTAGATTAATTCTATAAATATGGTAATGTGCTTATCTGAATCTTTAGGCACCTCAGAACCTTTGAAAATTTGACCCAAAGGTTTCCAAATCTTACAGATCCTTGGTGAGACTATGGCTCCTAAGTACCTGTCACCTTCGAAAAGTGGAATCCTTCTCACTGAGACACTTCTGAAAATTTTACCCAAGAGTTAGAAAACAAAAATATTATTGGTGGTACATATTATACTTGGTATATCTTTTTTTATGCGGGAAATAAAAAAAAATAGTGTCATCGCTAGAAAACATTATGTGCATGTAATACCACTCTAACTCAGATCATTTTTCCCCATAGATTACTGCTCCGGGCCCAGGCAGTAACAAAAAAGCAGTGCATTTATCCCAGGATTCTCATCACCATGAGTGAGTACCAGTAGTGGGAATTGTCCTTGTTTTTAGTGTGTTTGTATTACCGTAGCACTTGGGCTAGGGACAGAAATTACACACAAACCAGCAGAAGTGATCAGAAATCACTTCAAATCTGTAACACAACAGAAGTTCAGTGCACATAGCCTGCTTTCAACATGGCCAAAACCAGTTTAAGATGAACCTGTGTGGATGTAGTCTCAGACTTAACTGATTTGGATTAAATTGGTTTATTGAACTTCTGCCCCAGATCCCGTCCAGATTCCAGTTAGCTCACAGTCCCCCAGCATCCCAAGATGTTTTGCACTTCCCCTGCAAAACCCCCTCTTGCAGGATGGCAGAGCTAACCTAGGCCTAAGCTGTCTCCTCCAGCTGAGCAGGGAGCTGTGCTCTAGAGCCCCCCCATTCTACCCTGTGAAGATTGAATTGATTCAGACTCTGGCTTTTTGACTGCCTGTACTTAGCCATCATGTCCAAGATGATTAAGTTTTTGTAAAGAAGCATACTAGGTTCAGCACTGCCCAAGTGCTTTGCAGAAAGAGAATCAAATACTTTCTGTTTTTTTGTTTTGTATTTCTTTTGGTTTGGGGTTTTTTTTGGTATAATAAATATCCTGTGGAGACTCATGTCCTCAAAAGATCACAAAACCAAAGACCTGAATTGAGGACATTCTGACAGGAAACATCTTTTGATTCCTTTAGATATTGCAGCATATCATTAATATTTTCTCTATTTTCAGCTCAAAATAAGATATATGTTTACAGAGCCCAATCCAACCAATGTGGCAGATGTTCCATTTGTTATTTGAATAGGCTGATCTATTCTGACCTTCCCCCAAAATCCACTGCCATATTTAAAGAAGCAGAACCCAGTGCCAGGCACCTTATTTCCTCTCTTGTTCTTCTTCCCAGTACTGATATTGCCCCTTCCACCCTGGAGAAGTTGTTAGGTCCATGTGTAATGCACACTGCAGGGAAATTGGGAGGCCTCTTTTAAACATGCTGCTGCAATCTCAGATGAGTCTATCATAATTGCTGCTGGTTATGCTGAAGGAAGGCACCATGTTACCTCCTGTTGTATCCCACTTTCTGGACCAATGCCTTGCCTTTGTAAAGGAAAATATTATGAGTGGTGTGAAATGGTGTGGCAGCCTTGAGGTGCGAGTTTATGTTTGCGTGCTGTTTGAGTTACAATTCAAACCGTGGCCTTGACTGGTGAAATGCTAATGTGTTAACATTTACCAGTTAGCTCACAGCAGTTAGGTGGCTTTTCAGCTATAATTAAACTGCTTATGCTTCAGTAAAAAGGATTTTATTTTGTTTTGGTTAATAGGGTGCATTGTAATATACACGATTTAAGACATGCAGAATCTTAACATTTATGCATTACTAAATTGAATTAATAGAACATAATTAAATGTAAAGTTAATGAGTGCCTGGTTTTCCTAAGAAGTGAATTTGCAAAGCTAGATGCATTCTTGCATTCCTATCAAAACTGTTACAGACTTTGAGAGTTCCATAAAATATCCCATTAAAATAAAGCATAGCCAAAGGCTATATTTTCCTGGCAGACAATGAAATGCCGAAAAGCACGCACAAACTGGTCATATGACAGCACGTGCTTTAGTTATATTGTTAAACCCTTCTTTTCTCTTTCTCCCACAGCCATTGGTTTAGCCCTGGGGCTAGGAAGGAACATAGCCAGGTAAGAACCACTTTGATCAAAAAACAGTTTACTTCATATATAAGAAGGAATTTAACTCTCTCTCCTCCAGAGCTCTTGGGGCCAGTATTTTAAGTCATGAAAAGCACAGCAGCCTAAATAAGTTAATATTTCCTTTAGAGAGTATACTTAACAGATGACCATTTCAACCAGTCTTTTGGTTAATAAGCTGACATGTCACATTATGCTAGATAAGCATCAAAGTTCACTTTCACTGCTGACTTCAATGTTTAAAATATTTTATCCTACAACTAGTTTCTCATTAACAGTGGTACCTATGTTTCTCCTTCAATGTGGTTTCTAGTTCTATAACACTTTTTCATGAAATTAAAAAAATATACAACTGCTAGAACTGAGATTTGCCCTTACTTTTCTCCTTCACACCAGGAAAAGGGGCTAAAGCAACATAAAGGTGTCGTTAAATTCTGTATCAGGTGAGAAGTTGCCAGCGGCAGGAATTACAGAAGAAAGGCATAATGTTGTGTGTCAGGGAGTCCCTTAAAACCTGTTGTGTAGGGCACATTTATATTTGAGCAGTAAAGCATTGGTCAGACTTCAGAAAAATTAATGGAATTGCAGAAACACACTGGTCACCCAGAATATATTATCCATTGTTTTTATCTTAAAATAAGTTTTTCTAAATATAATAGCTGCTTACAAACACTCAGTAAAAAAAAAAAAACAAAACCAGAGTACATCAGTTATGCATTAAGATGCTATAGTAAAGCTCAGTGGGACATTCTTTAGGTGACATAAATTGCTGTGACTCAGCTGATTTCACTAAATCTGTACCAATTACACACAAGGTTAAAGTTCTAGGAAGTAGACTTTAAATATGGAAGCAATAAGTAATATTGTAAAAAACAATTGGGGAAAATCTTCATATTTTAGGATGTTCTAACCTCTTGTAGCTCAGATAAAAAGTCAAAGTAAAAGGTCCTCCTGAGCTTAGTGGTCCATGGGGCTGGACATGGGCAATGGCACGCATGTTTTTACAGCCAGAAGCACACAGGGAAGTAAATTGAAGAACATTTGAACACAAGATTTAATGTTTCTCAAAAATCACTTTATTTCCTCAAGCCTTTCAGAATAACAAAAGAACTAAGCACAGTTTTTAGCTGTAAATTGTGAAAATACTAGGTGTTATTCTATGCTGGCAGAGACTTCCTTAACAAACAGATAGCTTGCTGTGATTTGCATTTATCTCATGTCATTCTGAAACTTTATTCTTTGTTGAAAAGACGCATAAAAAAAAAAAGAAAAAAAATGTGAGCACACTTTTTTAGTTCAGCTGAAATAAACATGATAAAAGATTCCCATCAGCAAGGCTTCTTGCTGTTTGTCAACGTTGTTACATTTACTAATTGTAATAAGTGATACTTGCTGAGCACCAGTAAAAATAAAATGAAAAGTATATTTGATATCCTGAAAGTTTCAAATAACTTAGTAATTAATTTAACTTGAAACCTTTCACGTGTTTTGAAGGTTTTGAAATTCAGACCAGCCATACTCAATGCTAAGTGATGTACCAGCAGGCACTGTGCTGCTGAGCAACCACTAGGCAACCTGGCAGTAGGGTGAACAGTGCCCGTAATAGCAAATGAATTTGTATTTTCCCAAAAAAACCTTTATTGCCATTGCATGGGGAAAGATGCTGGCAATCCATAATGGGTCTAATCTTCAGGACCTGTAAAAAAAGGAGGGAAACATTAAGTTTAAAATAAATCTGTATTATGAAAGCAACTTACCTTTCGAAAGGTCTAGAGCTATGGAGCACCATATTAAATAATTATAATTGTTGCTGCAATTGTACAATTAATATTTAGTTAAGATGTTTAGGTTTTGAGATTTAAAAAATCATAAAGTATCAAATAGGGCTCATAGAATAGCAAATAGAGATGCAAGGGACCTTGAAAGGAAATTTTGTCTTATGCTATTAAAAACCTACTGATAAAGATTTCACAACCTCCCTGGGTAACTTTTTCCACTGCTTAACTACCCTTACACTTAGAAAGATCTTCCTGATTGCTGAACTAAATCTTTCTTGTGGCAATTTTAGCCATTATTTCTTGTCCTGTCCCTAATGCAAAATAGTTTACAACTTTCCTCTTTGCATATCTGAAAACCTTATATATACCTGGAGACTCACCTTCTCAAATCCAAACAAACCCAATTCTTTCCAACTTTTTTCATAAGTTGTTTTCTAGAAATTTGATTATTTTATTGTTTTTTGTTGCTCTTCTGTGGACTTTCTCCAGTTCATCCATATCTTTCTTGAAGTGTAGTGCCCCACATTGGACATAGTATCATGTTCCCCCTGAGACTTTACCAGTGCTAGGTATAGTGGAAGGATTACTCCATGCATCTTACTTATAATATGCTTAGTGATTCACCCCCTATTGCTTTTTTTTTTCCAGTAACAATTAGACATTGTTGACTCATGCTTAATTTTGATCCAGTATAACCCCAGATCCATTTCTGCAGCACTGCTAATTAGCCAGTTCTTTCCCATTTTGTATTTATGCCATTGATTATTTCTACCTGAGTTCAGTATTTTACAAAAGTCTTTATTTAATTTTGACTTTATTCCAGACCGTTTTTTCATTTTGTGAAGATAATTTTGAATGTTAATCGTGCCCTCTAAAAAGATTGTGCCCCCTCCCAGTTTGATATCATCTGCAAATTCAAAAAGAGCACTCTCTATTCCAACACTCAGACTCTTAATGATAATTTTGAATAGTACCCTACCCAGGACAGACCCCTTAAATTTAAAACAAAGTGTTTGTAATTGCATAATCAGCGTAGAGATATGTGGCAGGCAATCTTTATTTGTGCAGTCCTTATGCAATAAGTGTAATTAATATTTATTTTGACATCAGCAAGATGGACTAAACAGCAGCAAGACTGCTCCTTGTAAACTTTTTGTTTAAAATAAAGTTTTTAATTATTACTATTGGTGAGTAGAACTGCACCGATGCATCAATCTGATATTGGATCAGCACTGATATAAAAACAATTGATTGTCAGAAATTGGTCCGGTGTGGCCGATAAATGCCTGTGCATGTGCACAGCTGCAGCATAGCATGTGGGCAGTATGAGGAACACAGCCGGGCAACTCAGAGAGCTTCATCCAGCTGGTAAGTCTGTTGTGGTGGAAGGGGAGAGGGGATGGAAGGGTCTTGGGGGGCCAGATCAATGGCCCCCCCCATGGTGAGGGAGGGAGTGAGGCAGGGCTGGGAGCACACACTCCCCCATTGCACTCCTGGGGTGCGCGCAGCAGCAGGAGCTGCAGCCCCCCCAAACAAGCTACGGCTCCCTCCAGCACCCCACCCTGCCTCACTTTAGCTGGGCAGCACCTGCCCCAGCCCCACTCCCTCCCTCACTAGGGGCCTTGATCTGCCCTCCCATGCCCCTTCCCCATCCATCACAACCAACTTACCAGCTGCACGTCGCTGTATCGGAAATTGGATTGGTATCAGCCGATATGCCTCCTTAAAAATCAGGTATCAGTATCAGCCCCCAAAATGTCTATCAGTGCACCCCTGTTGGTGAGGAGTATGCTTTCAATCATAAGCAAATAAAAATAAAAAAATAAAAAAAAAAAACATTTGCAAAACTTCAATGTAAAACCTGGCATAAGGAAACCAGGTTATTCATTAGGTATCTTTTAAGTCACCTTTGAAAGCTAAAGTGTACTTATTTTGTTCAGTCTAGGAATTAGACAACTCATAAAATGTTTCTCATTCAAAAAACAATCTGTAAATGTGCTAGGAAAATAAATTTAGTTAAGTGTGTTCTCCAGATACAATTAAAATGTTGTCCTTTGCTTTGGCATCCATGCCCAGGTATATGACCAAGGTTTGGATTGCTAAACTGTGCACTAATAGGTTCAAAAGGTGTATCAGTCAACTCTTGCAGTGAAGGGTCCCTTGTTCCTCCTCTGATACTTTTCTGAGTCCCATCAGCAGAGCTCTTCCTTAGATCTGTGCAGCCATTTGTATAGCTAAACCTGCAATCCAGTTCTCAACATTTTGTATCCGTTCTTGAAGCTTTGGTTCCTATCAAAATATGACTTCTAGTTTTTAACGATCGTTTGCACTTTCACATAATCATTTGGCAGCCAGATTTCACTGCATCACTGCCACATCATTCTCACATGGAAAATTGTCAAATCAATTGGAGAGAGACGTTGTCAGCTGAAGTAGTTGGATTAACAAAAAGTCTTTTTTCACTTTGAACAAATCATAAAAAATAGTGTGGTTTAGAATATCATCACTTCTGTTTCTCCCAAAGGAACCTAGTATCCTGGATACTTTAGGAAGGTTTGTTATTTAGTTTTTGTTTACTCTAAAACTTTGAGTCTCATGAAAACTGCTAGGTTTCAGCAGTTCTACTTTCTTTTCAAAATACAGTCGAGAAGATGTAAATTATTTGCAGTGAGTGATTCTATGCTTTTCACAGTTTAAAATAAGGGTAAAGTTATTTGTAAAAGTCTGGATTTCTTGGGTTTTAAGTATATTCTGTATAACTGCAAATTTCTGTTAATGGAGTAATTGCAGTGTAATTGCAATGTAAATGTAATTATGTGCTTAACTCTACATGTATTTTAACAACATTTGATTAAAAGGCTGTAATGACTGATCATGCTTTATCAAGAATGCACTGAGTCACTAACTGTAAATATTTCTTTAAGTGCATTCATGGTGCACCTTAAGTAAAAAAAACAAAACAAAACAGTCTAGGGCAATGGTTCTGAACCTTTTGAGCCTGAAGGCAACCTTGCATAACTTTTCTGAATTTTTCAACACCCCAGATGAGAATTGCTGAGCTACAATCTAAATTCAGAAAACATGAAACAGTGCATTGAGGCCAAAAAAGTTAAGAAGTACTGATCTACCTGGTGCAAGGTCAAGATAGTGGGGGCAGTATCTAACCCTGTCACATCCTTTCCATGGTCCCATTCCTCCCCCTGGTTTTTTCCTGAGGGGCCAAGGGCAGACCCCACTGCCGAGCTGCTCCTGCAGGGTCTCACTTGCTAGCAACTGCCCCCACAGCCCCTCTTGCCAGTCCTGGAAGTATGAGAGGAGTGGAGGGGACAAGCTTGGCTGCAGTACATCCATCTGCCTGCCCACATCAGAGCATGCTTCCAAGAGTGTAGGGGCAGCCAGAATGTAGTCAGTCAGTGTGGGGGAGGCAGGCAGGGGCAGGGGGAGAGCAGAAGAGGGCAGCAGCAGCAGTTCTGGGAGGAGCAGTTGCAGGCACTGCTGAGTACCTGGGGCAGGCACAGGGCGCTAGACTGGGGAAGGAGAGCATTTACCTCTTTACCCAGGGGACAGGTGTCATAGCACCCTTTATGGGATCTCTTGGGGCCCTAGTTGAGCATCACTGGTGTGAGGTGTCACTATTGAAAATCAAACAGATAGGAGCTGGTTAACACAAGAGAGTAATCAAGTTAGAATGACATTGCTTAGAATAAAAATGACTATGCTTTCAACACTGTTCTGAGTGTACTTTCTGTATTTTCAGCACCTGCGGGATAACCGATCAGAGAGAGGACACAAGAAGAACAGCTCAGTAAAAACAGCTAGCAGGTAAGTTAAAGCTACAGCTAATTATTTTAATCAGAACATGGCTATCCTTAACTATCCCCATATATTTTCTAAAAAGATTGATGCCACCCCTGTTTCTGAATAGTTTCTTGTGCTCCCTTTCTTATGGACTTTTTCTGTGTAACATGGGACTGTACTGGTGTTTTGTATGGGACTTCACTGGTGTTTTTATCCCTCCAATTTATTTACTCGGATTATAATACATTTATTAAACATCTGGGTAATATGGATGATCTTGCCTGGTTCCTTACTTACAGGATGTAATTGTGAGAGTCAAGAATGTGCATTACACACACACACACACACACACACACACACACAATTTTTTATGATAAAAAACAGTAGAAAGGGACTTAACACTTAGATATCTGTACTGTATTGTCCTTGAAAAAACTGATTGGCAGAATTTATAGAAACAAATTCATCATTAGGGGAAAAAAGCTGAGCATTGCAATGATAAGATGTGACAAAAGATTAAAGGCAAAGCTCACTGTTAAGTCTGTGCTCAAAGATCATGTATATGTTTACCATACCTGATTTCTCCTTGACCCTTACTGTAACAAAATTGTTTTATAACTTTTTTCTGTGTGCAACATTTATTGTGTATACATAAGTGAGAGATTGTAGATATATTATTTGGGTTAGCAAATAAGTTTTTTAACAATACACTTGAAGGCTGGAACAATACCATACTTTTGAGTAAGAGAAAGTACTTGGCCTTCTGTTTTTAAGCCACACAGTATATCTAGGATCTGAAGTTATCTTGGGATAGCCATGTTATTTCGTGTTGTGAAATACTGGCTATAAGTAATACCTGGCATGTGAGATAACATTTACTTTTATCATATGAGTACCAAATGTGAAAATACTAAATGTTGTGTGCAAGTTCATATTACACTCTCTGATTGGTTAGTTGCACAAATACTATGGACACAGTAACTAGACACACTTAAAAGCAGATTGTAACTCAGGAAATCTCAGGAAAATCTTCCAAACCATAGGAACAGTAGCAGAATGAAATAAGATGCCTATGGAAGTAGATAAACCTTTGATTGGAGATTTTCAAGAAGAGGGTAGATGAGCATCTGTCTGAGATGGTTTAGGTTAAAGAAAAGAGTCCTGTCTCTGTATAAGAGGTTGGACTAGATGAACTGAACCTTTAGGTCTCTTGCAGCCCTATAACACACAGTTATAGTTGTCTTTTGTCTGTTAAATGTATTCCAAAGTAACTAAACACTCTTTCTGAATAGCAGAGTTCTTTAAAAATAGTAAGTTTGCTTTGAGCAATTTTATTCAAAGAAGCTTATGTGCATATAGGCCAGATTCTCACTAAAAGACTGCATTAAGGATCTGACTCTCATTTGTGCCAAGGCTCTTTACACCAAGCTGGCCCCATACAAGGGTCGTAAAGGGGGTTGTTCAAGAGGTCTAAACTGTATTTACACCCACTTTACAGCCATTTTATACTACTAAAGCAACAGAAACCAGTCTGGAAGTAAGAGAGAATCATGTTTAAGTATTTATTAGTTTTTTATTGTATTAAACAATTACTTGCAAAGACATTTAAAACAGATTTTTAAAAAGAAATATTTCAAATGATCTTTTCTCCCTACCTTGAATCAGCACTGAACCAATAGACTGTTGTCCCAATAAACACTTGGCAGTCTTTTTGTGGAATCAGTAGGATTCAGGACCCAAGTGTAGGACTGACTTTTTTGCAAAACTTCTGTAATATTAAAACAAAATGTGTATAGCCCCCTATTCTGAGATAAAATGACAACATATCACATGAAATGCCTACTATCCTTGAATGGCCCAGTGGCCACTACTACAATTACTTGCACAGAATGAATTGAATATATTTTAGCTACCTTACAATGCAGTTTAGCACCTGGAATTGAAGAAAGCTTATGCATAGGACTTCTGTTTTTTCCACAGACTACTTAAGAATTACTAGTCTAACCCACTGGTGGGTACATACACCAGAGTTAAAGAACTGTAGAACTGCTGTATAGCCTTCCAGCCAAACTCAGAATGATCTGCCATCTCATGTTTTTTCTTTCACAGCAGATAGATGTTACTTCTGGTGATAACTTTCCTACCACCATCCAACATTCAACAACTTAATATTTTACCTTTTTTTGAACGTCGTTATAGACAACTGAAAGAATTATATGCATGTCTGTGATGTCTATGAATATATAACACATGCAACACAGCAATAATTTAGCCTTTCTTTCCTACTAATTAAATTTATTTTAAGTTACCAATATAAATTCAGTGAGTGGGATTTCTAGGAGGACTGCCCATGACTTTGCTTTGGTTTAAGTTGCCATTCTTACCAGACAGCAGTTGACTACTTCACTGCTGCACTCAAAAATTCCTGGCCTCAGTCATTTTCTTAGAGAAAAAAAAAATTCAAATTCTGAATAAACATTGTTTCTGACAAAGTAGATTGTGTACACACTGGGTGTATCTGTACATGCACTTCATTGTGGAGTAGACTAATTAGCTCTGCAGTAAAGTGTCACCATCTACACACGTGCTGGTATTAGGGAGCAGTAAATTAATTAACTCCACCATAAGATCATACTGTTAGGGACAGTACTATCTAATGGTGGAGTCATTAAGTGCACTGCAGTACACATGTAGGTGATGATGGGGGCTGGCTGGGGAACAAAGATGCTAAAATGCAGGGGATGCCTGCCATGTAGCCCCACACTAGCAACCTTGTGCACCAACCAACTCCTCCACTGCTTGACACCACCATCTGGAACCTGGGGCTTACCCCAAGTACTCCCTGCCAGTCCAGGGCTGCTCTGCCCCAGCTCAAAGGGCTGTGGTCCTGGGCGTATATATAAACACAGAACCCGGGAGCAGTTGACTCTGCTGTGCACTGAGCTTATTGCTCCACCTTAATTTCACATGTAGATGTACCCACTGTTAATGAAGAGGCAAGTTGAGAACTATGTCTTTCTGGTAAATGTGCAGTCTCATTACTGTGCATCTGGGAGGCCTGAAATGGAAACAGGCTTTTAGATTTTAACTTAAGGCCAGATCCATTTAAAAGATGTAAATTAGCAAAACTCCCCTGAAGGTAGTTGTACTTCACGAATTTACACCTAGAAAAAGTGCTGGCCCATTCTTCAGAGTAACTATAAAATAACTATAATTAAATGAATAAATCTGTTGTATTTTAGATAACTGTGCTTATGCAGCTACATAGTTGAATGTAAGTGTTCATTCTACACTGAAGTCTCAAGTACTCTGACACTGATTCTAAATTATTTTTTGCCTGCTTTCAACGTATAGGTAATATGTAAGGATATTGTAATGTAGATGCTTAACATGCTTTTAAAAATGCTCAAACCAATTATATCTATGATAGAAATGTCTTGTCTTTATGTTTATTGTTAAATGTCGAAAAAGTGGTAAATATTTGAAGGCTTGTATTACCCAGCAGACTTTCAATTTTATCCTTTGTGTGCTGCTCTTACTGCAAGACTGCAGTTGCTAAATGTATTTCTTTGCATAATTGCCACACAGGCATGTTTCTAACCATGTGGACATATATATTTTTGTGATTTGGTATTCTGAAAGACATTTTCTATTAATACTTTTTACATTGCCTTGACTTTTCTTACCCCTTCTGGATGAGTGACCGCAGTTCTTGTCTCAGCATGTGAAAAAAAGTAAAGGTTAGAGACCTACACTGCACTAGATCAATGAATTGTGGAATAATTTACTCCACAATTGTATTGTATAGGTAAGAAGGGATAAGCATTCAGTTGGTGTGCTGTTACTGTCTTTCTTCTGTACAGTACTGATGATACTTTCTTAATGAGCTTAACTATATTCGGTTGCTCCCAAGAGAATACCAACATTAACATTTGAAGACAAAAGTAAGTTTCAAATTCTTAATATTAAACATGGTCTAAAATGAACCCTATGAAAAATAGCTTCACCATTTTATTAATGGGACGTTATGAGAGACTAAATTTTTGAGCATCAGTGATATGCCTGTTGATACAGAGCACAGAGAAGAGGTCTCCGTCAAAACAATTAGAATAGAATAGACCATACAGGATAGCTATGCAAAATACTGGATATATTACATCTGACACATTTTAAAAAGAAATGGAGCTATGATCTGTTTTAAAAAAGATCAGTTTTAGTTTGCAGACCCGTCTGTCTTCGTTGATTTTTTTTTTTAAATCATGCTTTACTGTCCATTACTGCATGACATATTAACTTCTTTAAGACCTATATTTCTTTCTCCTGCACATCTGCAGAGAAGTTATCTTAGCTATGGATGGAACACTGCCAGCCTGAAAGGGGAAATCCATGGTTTTCTGGGTTTTTCTCCTTTAAAGGAGAAAATCCATATTTATCTGTGAACCTGGCGGCAGCAGCAGTGGCAGGCTCAGCCTGAGCTGGTCTGCCTCCAGCTGACCTCAGAGATCATGATCACACCAGATCTGCAACCCCACTGAAACCTGCTCACGGGCCCCTTGTTGAAAACTGCTGGCCTAGAATCGAGGCCTCCCAAATCCTGGGCCAGGGATGGGCAAAATGCAGCCCATGGGACGCATCCAACCCTCCAGGCAATTCCATCCAGTCCACGGTGCCCCTGGCCCTGGGCTGCCCCTCTACAAGCCGGTTTGTCCATGCAGGAGGTGAGGCTCCAGCTAAGCAAGCACTCCCCCACCCAAACCTGACCTGCCCCCAGCCCCGAGCTAGGGGGTGCACTAGACACAAGGTGCCTATACCTGTCAGAGGCTTTTGCAAGCAACCCCATGGCTGTTTCCACCTTCCCTGGCTGCGTGCTAGAGTGGGGGCCCCCACCATACCCCCCCAAACACCCACACCCTCCCACAGCCCCCATACACACTCCCAACCCCCACTTATAACCCTACACATATCCACCTTCCCACAGCCACCTTGCACACTCCCTCACCTCCCCACCCCCCATTATACCTCCA